CGCTGTAGTATACGCAAACCTTAACTGGCGAACGACGGACGACTCGATCGATTGCATCCGATGGAACGTGTGACTAGACAACAGAACTGAGGACAGACTCACGCACAAGAGCAAGCAGACAAAGGCCAAGAAACACAGGAGGTCAAGGTCAAAGGTCGTCTGCGCATCAAGCCAGCTGAACGCGGATCGAAGTCCCAGCCAATAGGATTGCTCATCGCCACGGACAACCCCGGCGATATAAAAACGCATGCACACCACGCTCAGCGCACTCTCACCGAGGCTTCGCTCCGCTACTCTTCGCTATTGCACGCCATTCAAGTACGCACCGATGACGTCACCTCGATTTGGGACGAAACGTTTGCAACAAAACTGCCAAGCTCAGCGAATAGTTGAGCCGCCATCTGAACAACCTTTGCTACCTGTCCTTAATGCATTTTTGTTGTCTTAGAGTAATTAGAAATCGGAGTGAGATTATGTGTGTGAACATCATTTTTTTATATAACCATTTTATGTGATAGAGGATGTGAGCATTTTATTATTTATATATCGTTTACTTTGGTGTATTTAGTTTGTGCTTGTGAGTGACACTCTTTGTAATTAGGTACGCGCCACCCGCTCCACCACATAGATAGATATATATAGACCTCTCCCTTTGTGGAGTGTTTGTGTGTGGGACTCTCAAGTATTGCATAGATAAAGAGAGATAGTAAGACCGCTCTCAGTGCGCTCCGGCACCCGCCTCCTCTCCATAAGTATGACGATCGCCCGGTATTTTTTTGTTGCTGTTTATTGGTTGTGTGCTAAGATTCCCCCCCCCTGCCCTGTGTTATTTCTTTTCCAAAACATCTCTCCAAATAACATAAACCATATCAACCAAAACAAGTAAATTACTCCTTCTTTATGTAGTAGGGTGGTTTCACTGTGGAGCCCATTGTGTGTGTGTGTCCCCACATAGGAGATTGACACGCACACAAGACACTCTTTAAAATATATTTAATTGTGAGAACTGTAAAGGAGTGGATGTCCGGTTTTCACGAACGGGAATGCTATCTCATTCCCCAATTACCAACCGCCCATATATTCTACCCCACATCACATATAATCCCCTTATCCTTACCTAATATTCTGGTTGGTTTGCTACTGTCAGCAGTAGAACAGGTGGGGGTTGGTGTGAGCTCGCGCTCACGCTCGGATGTGACTTTCGGTGGTTGGAATGTGTGTGTGTCGTTAATTGAGTGTGTGTGTGTGTTGTGTGCGTAGAGAGCGTTAGGGACTGCGGGGACGTTGTTGTTGGGATGTGTGTTTCCTGTTGTTAGTGTGTTTTTTGAATGACCCTTTTTTCTTTTCCTCGGTGATTGGGTCGTTGCGTCGGGCGGTGTTAGAGGCGAAGATAGTGAGATACCCATCCCCGGCCTCCACCGTCCCAATCCGCCACCCCCCCCTTACCAGCCTCTACCCCCCGAACCCCCCTATGAGAGAGAGACTGCATAGCACAGAGTTTGTGTGGGTTGGAGGAGGGTGAGGGGGTTGTGTGTGTGGGGGGACTGTTCGGTAGTTGTTTATGAGGATTGTGTGTTGGTAAGAAGAGACAAGCCGATACTGAGCTTGAATTAGCTAATTTACGTTTGGAATTGGAGGAAGGTGCGGTTAGTCAGGAACATCTCGCTACTGTAAATCGCGTGCCCACAGGTGGTGAAGAGCAGATGAGCCGGTTCCTAAAGTACTGTCAAGAGATGGCACCTCATTCAGTAGATCCAGTTTCGTGTCCTCATTCTTGTCTGACAGTTTGTTATCCATCCGCAGATTTTCCGAAGGTGGAGTTAGAAAATGTTGACGGTGCCCCATTGAGCTACTGGTGATTTATCAATCCCGTGGAGAATTTTGTTGAGTACCGCGTGGTTGATAACGGTCAGCGTTTGTTCTACCTTGTGTATTATTGCAGTGAGAGCGCCAAGGAAGCGAATCGTGAGTGCACCATGCTTCCGCCTGAGCAGGCTTACAATAGAGCTCGTTGTATTCTTCGTGCCCTATTTGGGCAACATCATTTAGCTGCGGGTTCATTGCTCGATGGTTTGCTTACAGGTTTGAAACCCATGACTGATGACTTCGAAGCTTTATTCCTATTGTCGCTGAAAATGAAAAGCTGTTATATGGCACTGTCTCAGATGGACTATATGGCCGACTTAGATTCCAAAACCACTATTGAGAGGGTAGTTCGCGTTTTACCTAGCGCTCTGCAATCTCGATGGGCGGGAGTGGCTGATTCTATCGTTCAGAATATGCGGGAAGTCAGATAGCGTGGTTTGGCAGCTTTTGTTGTAAGCGAGGCTAAGGTTACACGTAGCAGATTCGGCCAGGTAGCGAATGCCAATGTGCCACGAAGTCCGCTTGCTATGAATCCGCCTCGACCAGCCGATAAAGGAAAGGGTCGCAACCTTTGTTTCTACACTGCATCAGAGAGGTCCAAGTGATTTACTTGCATTATTTGTGACGGCAATCGTGATGTAGAGTCTTACACGAAATTCTTAGATATGAATGTTCCAGGCCCCTGGGAACTTATCAGCGCTAAAGCTGGTTGTTACAACTGTCTAGGGTCCGGTCACCGTTCCGCAACTTGTTGAAACCGTAAGGGATGCAGTGTGTCTACATGTAAGGGGCGGCATCCCTCATTAGTACATCATGACAAAACCCTGAATCCTTCACGTAAGGAATATAGCAGCTGCAATGCTAGCTATACTGCTCCAGGCAGTTTCTTTGGGCGTTGTGCCTGTATACTTGGATGGCCCATTACGGTCTGTTGAAACCTATGTTTTGTTGGATAGAGGATCGGATGGACCCTAGTTCAAGAGGACCTTCTATTAGAAGCGCGCGTAAGGGTAAGCCGCAACTAGTTAACGATGCTGACCGCGATTGGCCTCACCTCCTTGAAAGCTGGCCTAGCCAATTTTCACTTAACCGCCTTGAGAAGCGCTGAGTATGTTACAGTTGAAAGCGCTAATTGTTTGAAGCGATTGCCACTACGTCCAGTAGCATGCACTAATGGCCAGTTGGGACGTTAATGACCGCACTTATCTGGCAACCACCTTGATGATCTGGCTGGTACCCGAGTTCGGATATTGATAGGAGCCGTTGTACCAGAGGCACACTGGCAACTTGAACGCCGTGCATAGGTCGGAAGCAGCGGTTCGCTGTTAGCACGCCCTTAGGGTGGATATTGCTGGGACACCTGAATATGAGCGCTGCGTGTTGCCTTCCGGTACATTGTGGGCAAGAGGGTGCATCTTTATGGCAACACAGTTTAAATGTTATATGACGGTGGGTTAAAAGGGCTGGTTCGGGCAATTCTTGCTCTCTCCTTGTTTCGTGTATTGGGGGTAGCATTTCAGGAAGTGGTAGCTCGTTGAGTGGAGAAGTCGTGTGCGACTTCGGTTTTTGTGGGACATTTGCGGGTAGGGTGTGCGCTCTGTTTTGTTCCGTATTAGGGAAAATTGTGTTCAAATTTACGATCGTTCCTTAAGTAGTAAATTTTGTTGTCTTTGGCTTGTCGCTTTGCGATTGTGATGTTTGATATGGATTTGATCATGTTGGTGAGAGTGTTTCCCGATGGTTGATTGATTGTTAGAAACGCGAGACTCGCCGAACGCGGTTTGTATGAGTGGATAGTAAGTTGTGTCACGCTTGTGCTTCCTGCGTGGAGTTGGCGACGGAGTCTATGTCAGCAAAAGGTGGGATATCGGGTTGTGCGCTGGGTCGGTTTGGCCAGTGATTCGTTGAATTACAAACCTTGGCTACATACCGATGAGGATCGTTCGTTGGTATGTCTTATCGGCGCATTGTATTGTGCGTTTTATTGAATCGGCGTGATGGAGATTGGGTGTCATGATAAGGTTCGCGAGACTGGAATATAACGTATCTTGCTGATGTGGTCTGTCGATTATGTCTGCCTAGAGCAGTCAGAGTAGGTTTGGCATCGCGCTCCGGTGTATGCACAGTGCAGTGGTGTTCAATGTGGCCGGGACATCATGCTATAACGTTGGCCTGAGTATGTGATTCGTGTTTGTTTCGTATTGTTCGTGGTGTGAGAAAGTCTCCTTGGGCTATTTTCCGCATGAACCTGTTACTTCGGCGGAAAGAGGAGTGACTAGGCATAGATTTAACGGTTGGTCATGTGCATAAGATATGATGAGTCTGTTGCTGACTACGGTTTGTCGTTGGGTGGTTATTGAACTCATTTCAGGTGGTAGATTTGTGTTTTCTGGGTTGTTGTGTTGTGGTTGTAGGTTAGTGGAGTCACCGCAGAGCGCTGGTGCGTCCTATTCGTGTTGCTGATCTTCCCCGCCTCAGCTTGGTGCCCTAACTTTTGTGATCATGTGTGTCGCGTCGATGGTGCCGATTATAGGGAGGGGTTGTTATGGGGTCTTTTGTTGCGATAAATACAATGGTGAGGACGCGTCCGGCGCTGTCGATGTTGTCGAGATTGATTTATGTTGATCCAGTGTTCTTTTGTTTTGGGGTCTGTGTGTTGCGAGAAGATGTATCCTATGACGCTCTTGGCCGTAAGTAGGTTATTGAAGAAATTGACGCTCGTGCTTCGTTCGTGTAATGTATGAGATCAATGCAGGTTTGGGTCATGGAGTTGATGGTAGGCGCTCGGCTCTCTGTCAGCGTGAGTTGGTGAAGAGTATGGTTGTCGTGCTAAGTACGTCTCGTCATAGTTTTGATTGGGGTTTTACTGGTGAGGTCTTGTGGTTGCTAAGTATGCCCGTTGCAAGATGCATAGTGCGCCGGAGGTGTGGGGTAGGGTGAGTGTATTTGGTTGTCAGTGTCGTTAGAAGCTCAATTTGCTCAGATTCCCGGGGTCGCAGTTACTCTCGCCGGGTGGTCGATTGTTGTGGTGTGTGTCATCTTGGATGATTTGTCCGAGCACGGTATGTTTGCGGGTTTTCTTTTGTCATAGTGTTGGCGCGCGATCACATAAGTGAGGGTCGGGTGAGGAGAAT